AAAAATAAGTTCCTGAATCGTAGGCTTAAAATGAAATATACGTATACAGGATCTTCGAAATCTCCGCCCAGTACCGACAAAGGGAGCCAGTATCTTTTCTGCTTCAGATCTGCAAATCTAATAGTTCTTTTTCTGTTGGCTGAAGCTACAGACCTCTGCATAATGTAAGTAGGAAAAAGTTATTTGACTTGATGAAGTGACATAGTTAGAGATAGACATACTTTTCATGGTTCTTCATGAAGAAACAGGACTTGGGAAAACCCAATTCATTGAATTTATTATGTGTATACCTTTATTTCATTTACTTCAACAGTAATATCAGTATCAAAGCCACGAAGAACTTGCAAAGATGTTTCAAATTCTTCTGTCATCCCCATCTTTGCCTAAAGGTTGATCCAAAACTATATCAAAAACTGAAAGAATTAAAAATTAGCTTTATCAGGATGAAAATGTTGATTTCAGGACTTACAAGCCATCTTGGAGATTCTGGGATGAAAAACAATCCAGGTATCAGTATTGTACAAGGCAAAACTCCTGCAAAAGAAGCGTGTAGTGATGTTTAGTCAATTAAATTTTGTAATTTGTGATGTTAAAGAAGAAACTATGGCTGGTAACATATACGGTGAGAGAATTCTTCCTCTTGGTTCGGAAGAAATCGGAGATGTTAGCTAAAAAAGATAAGTAGGTAAGTACAAGATTGACAAAATGCACATACAAATGGATTTTCATGATCCCTGTCTATTCTCTTAGCGTATATTATTCTTCAGTAAACAAGAATGTTCACTAAAAGTACTCTCTTTTTTTGGAAAAAAATATACGTGGAGCATGTCTTTTTTTAAGAAAGAGAATACTTATAGTGAATGTTCTTGAACGATATACACTGAGAGAATAGACAAGCATCCTCAGCATTGCACAACTTAAGGTTTTGGTACATAGGAGAGATATCACTGATTAACAGCTAACGATGAGTACTAACACAAATCCTTCTAGATAACTCACCCAAAACTGCAAGTATTCTCCATGGTACAAATAGACCCAGCAAATAAGACAGCATTATCCCCAAAGTAACAGACAGCTACACGACAAAAGTGAAAGTAGCTTAGTTGAGAGCTGATTAGAATGAAAATCACTACCAATTCCAAGACAATTCATGGTACAAATACCAAATGTATCCAACCTGATTTACTGAGCCCAGACTTCCTCTCAAGTTTTGGGGAGCTATCTCAGCTATATAAACTGGCACCTAGAGGAAAAGGTGAGAGTCCCTTCAGTAAAATCACATAACCCGAGAAAACCGAGCCGAAAACTAAAGTCATACCGTATACGAGATTATCCCCACGCCAAACCCTTCCAGCAACCTCCCCATGTAGAGGAAAGAAGAATCCTACATAAACAATCAAAATTGGTTATATATGAGTCTATGCTGCCATTATGCATATGGAAGAGTGTTTGAAACCAAATGAATCTCTTTCATACTAACCTTTGCAAATGATATGGTAAGCCACCCTATAATATTGGGAATTGCAGCAATCATCAAGGCCTGAAATCAAGCACATTAGAGTCAGATTAGTCACCTAAACAGAAGAAAAGCTTCAGCAAGATGAATCGATGCAAGAATCAATAAAACCCGTGTTACCCCTTTTCGCCCGATATACTCAGCCAACTGACCGCTGGTTATAGCCCCAACCATAGCACCAACATTGCTTAGAGAACCAAATAAAGAATACTGTTTCATGAATCAGGTCAGACACCATTGTAGTTCACAAAGGTAGAAATAAGAACAAACCAGACAAACCTCCGAGACAGTAAGCCCAAGGTCCCGAGTAATTGCGAATTGGGTCGGCGATGAATACCCTCCCTGCAAAGTCAATACTCATTCTGAATGCTTGTTCAACAGAAATGGATTCCAGAGTGTTACCAACAAGCAGAAATCTAGCTTAGAACAATCAACAGAACCAGTTGCATTTCATATGCTCTTCTCTATCTGATCTTCTAGTTCTTTCTAGTTCTTTCTAACTTAGTAAGATTATTCTAACTTTTCTTTCCAGATACGGATGATGCAGGTCAACCGAGGACGAGACCAGCAGGCTAGAGACTACAGGTAATCCATTTTACGTGTTTTACTTGATATGTATGAAAATATTTTGGTTTTACTATCAGTTTTCGAAGTAAATGGTTTATATAAGTGGTAACTCCTGTGAATCAAGCTGTGGATGTGCAGGTGTTACAAGTTGGTATCAGAATCTTACTATTTCTTTCTAGTTTCTTCCATCCAACAACCAAATCCCAACTAGTCTAAAGGTTTCAACGGAAACGAACCAATACCTTTCCAATCCAATAGAATCTAATCCAAATTCTCCCAAAGATTTGAAAAGAAGATAGAACAGGAAGTTACCGTGAAGCCAAACTGGATAGGACCCAAAGCAACGATGAGAACACAGGCAAGTACAGAGATGGAGTTGTCATGAATTGCCTGAGACGAACCCATAAGACTGGACTGTCTCGAACCCATTCGATACCAACTCCCCGTGTGCAGAAATGGCTTCCTGAGGTCCCTCCCATCTTCACTATCGTCTCTGAAACTCATCCTCCCGAACCCTTTTGACAAAGATCAACAGCTCCGTCGTAATCAGAACCCCAACCTGGCGCGCGATCTGTTCGACGAAATGCCACACTCAATAACGATTATATAGACACTGAAGAAATGGTGGATTATACATACATAACTTTCCAGAGTAAGATTGTTTTCCCAAGTACCCTTCCAGATTCAACGAAATTCATACATCAAATATGTATAAAAATTGGTGGACTTGTCCTTCTGGGCCATACCTTTTCAGCATCATCGTGGTCATTGATTGGCAATTTGGCGATTTGGGTCCAATCTGATGTTGTTGTTGTTGTGGTACAGCTTGCGCTATAAAATATTGTTCCTCGAGCTTTGGACTATAGATTTGAATTTACAGCCACGTTTTTAAGCTGCATCCTTACAAAAATTTCAGACATGTCAGTTCAAAATCATGGTTGGTCCGGTCCGGAGATTCCGATGATTCGAGTGATTGGGTTGTTGTGAAATTAGACGAGGAGGATTAGTAACTCAGGTTTGTCACTAATTGAGTTTAATTAGTTTTGTTGGAGGAAAGTCTCATGGCTAATTTAAGGAATGATCATAGGTTTATAATAAAAGAATATTATCTCGTTGGCATAAGGCTTTTTGGGAAGCTTTCCCAAAACAAAACCTCGAAAGTTTATGCTCAAAGTGCACAATATCATACCATCGTGGAGAGGTCGTGTTCAACTAACAAAAATGGAGAGATTAATTTATCTATGTATTTTTTTATTGGATTTTGGGCTTTGACTTCTGAAATGCTACGTTGGACCGAGTGAAGAATGAAAAACGTTCACACAAGATGATAAAGAGAGAGTTTCGTCCATCGATGAACAACAGATTGACGGAATGTCTCAATTGCAAAGAGGACGGAAAGAAATTTATAGATGCCTCTAGTGGTCTTTTCAGCATCAAAAAGAGACGACTAAACTATCATTACCGTTCTTGGACTTTTTTGGGGACTTTCGAATCGGATGCGCTCGCCCAGCGAGAAAGCCCCCTAGGCTAAATTTTACCATTTTTTTTCTTCTTTCAGCTCGTGCCAGCAAAATACACGACGGTCCCAATTCCAAAGACAAACAGATCAATACATACACACTACACACAAAACACATAAAAATAGGCCCATTGAAAATAGCCCGACGTCGTTTATGGGCCTCATCTCAAAGCACCTTATAACATACAGTTGGGCCTAAGCCTTCCCAACTCGAACGAACAAAGCCCAATAAACACAACTATGGAGACTAGTATCCCTGTGTGTGCGCATGTCCAAAGTAAAAATTAAAACAAAAATCCAATAATTACAACAAATTGGTTTTTAAAAAATAAACGTAAAAGAAAAAAATAAATTAAATGGTCCTAGAATAAATTCACGTTCAGTTTTAAATCTAATATAAATCACTCTTTCTTCGTACCAATTCTAAGTTGACTATACGACGTTGGAGGAAGATCCTTAAAGGAGTTGTTCCCGTTCTTCCTCCAATTAGTATGTAACAAACTGTTCTTACCGTAGGAGCAACTCGAGCAATCCACCAAAATTAAATTTTGTACATATCTACAAATAGATGAGAAAAAACGTTCAATCGCTACCATTTTTATAGTTAGATGCCATAAGAGTTATTAAAAATTCCAAAATTTATGATACATTCAAAAACATTTAAATCGAGTAGTTGTAGTGGTGATGAATAATTTTTTTCAAACATTTAAAATAATTAGTCAAAATAAACATAATTTAGTAATAATTGATAAATATGTATTTATTATTAATGATTGTATGAAGTAAAAAAGAAAATTAATGAGGAATTGGGATTGGTTGAAAGGAAAGACGTGGAAAGAGAGACAAATGAAAGGCATCGATTGCATCACAGAAAGGTAAAGACATTGCTTGGGGCAAGCGTGGTGTTGCAGACGTTTCAGAATTCCTCTCTCCCTCCCTCTCTCTCTCTCTCTCTCTCTCTCTCTCTCTCTCTCTCTTCTGTACCAAATTCTACACACACTCTGAGAGAGAAAGCAACGCGACAACCCCACTACTGTTTCACCCCCCCCTCTCTTATTACTTTTCACTTTTACCCCTTTTACCCCGCTGTAAAAATTGGCACAGCAATAATGACGGGGGTGTGGTGGGGCGTGGTGGGGCGGGGTGGGGCGGGGTGGGGTGGGGTGTGGGGCCCTTTATGGCAGGCCGTGGGAGAGGGATGAACATGACCTTGTCGCTTCTTTTTTATCTCTTTAATTACCATTTTGCCCTTCCCCTCTTACTCCCCGGCTTCTCCTTAAGCAACCAACCTGTCTCTTGTTGCTTATGTAGCTGGCCTGTTGGATCCCTTGAGGCAATTTTTCTTTTCTTTTTTGTTTTCTAAAAAATAAATAAAATAATTAAATCCCTCTTTCACCCTTCTCTCTCTTCTTCACAAACCCTAATCTCTCCTCTTCCTCTCTCTCTCTCTCTCTCTAGTTCATGGTGCTGATGAAACCAATCTGGTTTCTGAATCTGACTTCGTTTTTTTTTTCGAATGCGCAACGCTACCTTTCTCTACTCTTATGCCTAGCTCTTCCTATCTCTATCTAATTTCTGAGGAACAAACAGAGCAAAAAAGAGCATGCAGGGAAGGAATTAATTAATTTGCGTACCTCAAACTGTTTGAAATCCGTGCTTTGTTTTGAGATCTCTCTGCTGTTTGTTCTTCTCTGTTGTGGTTGAGGTTTTGAAATTCATGGATATGCGAGAGCAGGAGAAGGAAGTAATGATGCCTGCTGCTTCTGGCGGTGGAGGCGGATATGCGCATATTTTTGGGGAAACGTCGTCTGGAGTTGTGGAGAGGAGAATCGAGTCGGTTCATAATGGTTCTCATCATCATATCCAACCAGAGCATCTCGACGCTGATCTTGTTGCTGGAGAGGATGTTAGCGGCGGCGGTGGCGGTGGCGGTGGTGGTGGTGGTGGTGGTGGAGGTAGATCCAAGGTGAGAGGAGCGGGGACTGGAGTTAGGTATCGGGAGTGTTTGAAGAATCACGCGGCGAGCGTTGGGGGGAATATATACGACGGATGCGGGGAGTTTATGCCTAGTGGTGAAGACGGAACCCTAGAGGCTTTGAAATGTGCCGCCTGTGAATGTCATCGAAACTTCCACCGGAAAGAAATTGACGGCGAGAATCAATTAAGTATCGGTGCTAATTACAGAAGAGGATTAATGTTACCTCATCTCCAGCTTCCTGCGCCATTACCGTCTCCTTCCGCTCTCCACGGACACCATAAATTCTCCATGGCGTTGAATCTCCATTCCAGTCCTACCGCTCCGATCATCGCTCCAATGAACGTCGCCTACGCCGGTGGTGGCGGAACCGAGTCTTCCAGCGAGGATTTGAACGTCTTCCAATCAAATGCCGAGGTCATGCCGCCGTCTTCCTACACCTTATCGAAAAAGCGCTTCCGTACGAAGTTCACACAGGAGCAAAAGGATCGAATGCTCGAGTTCGCAGAGAAGATCGGATGGAGGATTCAGAAACAAGACGAAGAAGAAGTGGAGAGATTCTGTAGTGAAGTCGGAGTGAAACGGCAAGTCCTCAAAGTCTGGATGCACAACAACAAGAACACAGTGAAGAAGCAGAACGACAATAACGAACCAGAACTTGCCGTTGCCGTTGCCGTCGCCGGTGCCGGTTCCGGTGCCGCCGTGATGAGTGAATCATAGGAAGCCATAGCCAATGCCTGCTCAAGGAAGAAGGTAAGAATCACTGAAATTTTAGGGAAATATCAGGTTTATATAATTAGAGGAATATTGAGACGATTTTATGTCAGAGACCTTTTTGTGATTCTTAATCTTAATTAATCTTAATTAATCTTAAGCCCTCAATTATTTAAGCATGTTCGTTATCATTTTTGTTTTAAAATTTTAATTATTAATAAATATTAAAATAAAATTAAAAAATAAAATTAAAAGTTTAATGTATATGAAAGATAGGCATAGACTACTTTTCAAATTTAATTTAATTATTTTAATTACTACTAAAATTATTTATTTTAAAATTTAAAATTTTAATTGGAAAGTTTTAATGAAATTTGTTGAAGTTTTTGACTAACTAAATTTGGAATTGGTTAAGACATGAATTTGACTAATTTTATTTGTCATTTTGGATATGGTTTGTGGGTCCTTGTGTGGGATTATTTGGTTTATTGTAGGTTTATAATATATCCATGTAATGGTCCAGATCTTCCGCTAGCAGATATTATCCTCTTTAGGCTTTCCGCGTTTGCCCCACCCTTATAAATGGTGTTTTGTAGGGCTTCGTGCGTCTGCTAGGGGAAGGTTTCCCCACCCTTATAAATGGCGTTTTGTAGGCTTCGTGCGTCTGCTAGGGGAAGGTTTCCCCACCCTTATAAATAGTATTTTGTCCTCCTCCTCAACCAACGTGGGACATCACAATCCACCCCTCCTTTGGGGCCAGGGTCCTTATTGGCACACTGCCTCGTGTCTACCCTCCTTCGGGGAAGAGCGAGAAGGTTGGCACACCGTTTGGTGTCTAGCACTGATACCATTTGTGACGGCCCAGATCCACCGTTAGCAGATATTGTCCTTTTGGGGCTTTCCCTTTCGAGCTTCCCACGTCTGCTAGGGGAAGGTTTCCCCACCCCCTTATAAATGGCATTCTATTCTCCTCCCCAATCCACTCCCCTTCTGGGCCAGCGTCCTCGCTAGCACTCTTTCCTTCTTCCAATCGATGTGGGATTGCCACCAAATCCACCCCCCCCTCGGGGCCTAGCGTCCTTACTGGCACACTGCCTCGTGTCTACCCACCCCCTTTGGGGAACAGCGAGAAGGCTGGCACATCGTCCGGTGTCTGACTCTAATACCATTTGTAGTAACCCAGATCCACCGCTAGCAGATATTGTCCTCTTTAGACTTTCCCTTTCAAGTTTCCTCTCAAGACTTTAAAACGTGTCTGCTATGAGAAGGTTTCTACACCCTTGTAAATGGTGTTTTATTCTCTTCCTCAACCAATGTGGGACATCACAATACACATTGAAGGTTTTATACCTTTAAATTAAATAACGATGTCTTACAATGATATAATGATTAATTACATATTGGATTTAGGATATGATTTAAAAACCCGACTAATCCAGACTATCAAACTCAAACTTAACCTGGGTTAAGTCTGATTTTTTATTTTTTCAGTTTACTTTAGGCCGAGTTCAATCTTTTGAGGTTCAAAAACAGCTTGACGAACCAACTCAACCCAACCCAACCGAAAATAAAAGATTGAGTTAGGTTGTAAACTCTATTTGATTAGTTTAAATCACGGACCGAACCAACTTAAAATTTTTTGCTCTATTTGGATAGTTCATGTCACCAATCCAACAAACTCGAAATTTTAGTTTGTACAGCTCAACCTATGAACGCCCTAATTTAATTTACATAATTGACTAATTACTTATATTAATAAATTAAAAGGAGAATGAATTTAATTTACGTGTATTAAATTTAAAGTAAATTGTTTGGTTTTTTTTTTTGACAAAATAAAAAAGTCAAAGTCAACGACATTGGGAAATGTTGGGTTGAATTTGATTGATGAGAAGATTGCAGGGGGTGCGGAAAACCAACTTAATTAAGAAACAATATAATATAATATTAATATAATATAATATGATTATTCTGTTTTAATTAATGAGATAATGATTAGATGAATGATGAACTCAGTAACTTCTTTCTAGATTTGTTCACCCAACCCATCATTTTGTGCCAACTCATCTCCCCCACTTCTTTTTTTCCTTTTATTTTTATTTTTATTTTAAATATAAAAAATAAACTTTTTAACAAAAATATTTTAAAAAATATTATTTCCGCTAGTATAGGGACCAAACTGTAATTACACATTAAAAATAATAGGTATACTTTAAAGTTTAAATTAAGAAAACAAATGATCTATGAAATATAAATAAACAATTTTCGTTAAGAATCACGACACTCCACAATAATCTCTTATGACTTAACTTTGGCTTTCACTAAAGGAGATAGTATTCGATCACTTATAAACACGTGATATTTCACTAAATTAACCAATGTGGGACTCACTTCCAATAATCTTCGACCATTTTAATTATAATTTTTTTTTGTATAAAAATTAAAGTTGTTAATGGTTATTTTTTTAAATAGGGTATTTATGGTAAGGGTATTTTTTAAAAAATTAAATTTTTTTTAAAAATTATAAAATAATAATTAAAAATTTTAAAATTCAAAGATATATATATATATGTATATATATATATATTAAAGTTTTAAGAGTATTTTTTAAAATTTAAGGGTACTATTAAATCTTTTAAAATTTTATAAATATTTTTATTAATTTAACCGATTATTTTAATTTCAACTTGAAAATTATATTTTTTTAAATGGTATCTGTTGATTTATAATCATACTATTATATAATGGGTCAATAACATTTTATTAATCGTTATCATAATTTTTTTTATTAATATCCACGTGGACATAATTAATATTGCATTTTTAATAAAAATATAGAATTAATATTTACTATATTGTATTTAATTATTCAACAGTTGGGGATGTAGCTCAGATGGTAGAGCGCTCGCTTAGCATGCGAGAGGTACGGGGATCGATACCCCGCATCTCCAATAATTTTAGCTTTCATTTTCGTTGTTTTATCTTGCCAGTAATCAACGGTCAGGATCTTAAGATTGCTGTCCATGGCAGTACACAAAGGAAAGATCTGATCGTCTTCGCGTGTTTCACTTCGCAAATTTCCCGCCATTTCGTCTTCTTCTAATCGAGAAGAATCAATCCCAATCTCTGGTCTCTTCTTTCATCTCCACCATCTGCTTCGAGCTTATTGAGCCTCCCAATGGCTACTACTTCCTCCAATCTCTCACTGTTGTTAATTTCATCTGCAGTTCGTTCAACGCAACGTTGTTGATTTCTGCCGCATTCTCATTCTGTTTTCATCGTCTACAGGTCAGTATCGTTTATCGCGGTTTTACACCGATTCTGGTTCTTGATGACTGTCCACACAGAAATTTTTGTTGATTTGACATTTTTTTCTTTGAAATTGCATGTTGTTGTTCGTTTTTCAACTCAGCATTGAAAGATTTGATCATGCGGCAATATGCCGCATTCTCATCCTGGTTTTACTTGTACCGCGGATTCATCCTATTCAGGTGCCTGATAATTGTTCCTTCCAATGGCGACTTCCTCCGATCTCTCGCAGTTATTTTATCTGCAATTCGTTCGATGTTCTTTAATTTGAATGGATTTCCGGTGTCCATATCCTATTCTCATCTTGTTTTCACCGTCTTCAGGTCCGTATTAATAAGCGCGGTTACATTCCGTTTCTGGTTTTCGATAGTTGTGTACATCGAAAGTCATGTTGATTGACATTTTTCTCAAATTGTTGTTCGTTTTCCGAAACAGGATTAAATTGTTTAATCAGTTACTCGAGTCGGATTTTGCCAGATAAATTACTCATCTCCATCATCAGGATTTACATGCGCAACCTCGTCTACAGGTCAGTAAAATGGATCTTGTGCGATGCCTCTTTTCATAATTGTTTACCTCGAAAGTTATTGTTCTTCCCGTCTTTCCCCAATTTTATTGTTTCTTTTTTACCTCTGAATTCTTAAGCGTTTAGTTGGTCATCTCCTTGTCTCGGTCTCAAATTTACAATTTCCATTGTTTACTTATTATTCTGTCTCTACATGTTCTGTTGATCGTTCATTTGATGAAATAATTGGATTGATCCGTCCACTTTATACTTGATTAGACGTCACATTGGCTAGTCCGTAGACTAGGAATATCACTTGTAGCGATAATCAATAAAGGCAAACATATATATTCTTTGCTTTTTCTTTTCTTTTTTTTAATGATTGGAAAGCGAATGAAACAGTAATCACACAAGTACACAAAAGCAGAATTATCAGGTACAAGAACAAACAGGTTACGACTTAACTTTAGTTTAGGCTACACATGTTACCAATAGTTTAGCAATCTATGCTAGAAAGGACCAACAGGGCGTGAAAATAAAGAACACTGACACCCAGCCATATTCCTGTAATTTTCGAGAACAGCGCTTCTGCAGCTCTTATTACATCATCGGTATAATACCTTCCCTTATTGGAGCTTTAGATTTTTCATGAGCCTGCAACAATAGTTCAAAGAGAGAACGATGGAAACATTAGCTAAATGTTTCTAAATGTGAATATATGGACAGTTAATCTGCAAGGAAGCAGAGGTATAGTTTAAGGCGAGTTCTCGGGCATACTTGATGCTTAATTAATCCACCCATGTCAGTTTTGCCAGTTTTTTTAATCAGTTTTTGTGCCCAAGTACTGAAGTAGATCCAAATGTTAAAGAAGGGATGGATAAATACGTAGATTTCTGAGTTCAAAAATACAGGACCATGTGCATGCAACTTAGAAAAGCATGAGAGATTGTGGGAATGCATGGATAGGAATAGCATGAAGTGTTTAGAAGAACTTCTTTAAGTAAATGAAAACTTCTCTATTGGTACAATTTTTTTAGATGATACCAAAAACAAAGCTGCAAGGATTGAACGAAAAGGTATACTATTATTCGATCGAAGAAATTGTTGAGGATTGTCGAGGGCTCCATAGGCCTCACGGGAGGCTCTATAGTGTACTTTGTTCGAGTGGAGGATTATTGGGAAGGAGTCCCATGTTAGCTAATTTAAGGAATGATCATGGATTTATAAGTAAGGAATACTATCTCCATTGGTATGAGGCCTTTTCGGAAGCTCAAAACAAAGTGATGAGAGCTTCAAAGTGGACAATATTATACCACTGTGGGGATCTGTGATTCTTAACAATTTTGTGAGGCTGATGGAAGGTTTGTTTTACTGTTAACGTTGAATATCTGTTCTTGGAAGAACCTCTTTTCGCGTATACGCAATTTTGAAGCCCAATTAGCTCACGGATTTCGCTATTTTGAATGTCTTTTCCCCCATGAACTAAATACTCAGAGATTTGGATGACTTTCCGAGATGAAAGTAGGATAGAGACTTGACATATGACATAAAAAGACGCCTAGGAGTAGATAGATAGCACGTTACCTCTGCTCATCACCACACACTATACTGTTGGATGCAATGGGCTTGTATTTGGGAAGAGGAACCTTTCCAGATTCTATATGCATCAGATCGTGCACCAGGATATCATAATGCCTTTTTACTTCCTCGGCTGTTTTTCCACCTACGGCCCTGGCCACTTTTTGCCACCGGTCTGGTGTGTCCTCGGGGTAAAAAGCCAGAGCATCCTCAAATTTTTTGTTTTGCTTAGGCGTCCATGAGGAGCTTGAACTGCCTGAAGATCTAAAAGTATTTGATGCCATTATATCAAGGGAGTTTGGAAGGAAAGCTGGGAATGTAGGGTCTGAGTGCCTCTTGTAAGCGAGGAGTTAGTCAAGGTTCTGGTGTGAATGTAGGCTGTGAGTGCCTCTTATATAGTCAAGGTGATGGTAGTGGGATTAAACAAGTTGAAGAATACATTTTAGAGTGATTCCCTTTGCCTTGAAAGTTCGAGTGACCGACCAAGGGGTCGTAAGATCATTTCAAAACACTGTTCTTGTCACTTATAATATCGTCACTTCATCAGCAATGAGAAATTCTAAAGATTTAATTGGCTGGTGGGAGGATTAGATCCAATTCTTACCCTACGCAATTACACACTAAATGCTGCTTTCAATATAAACCTCCACCTTCCCTCCCTTTTAGTGGGTCTCTGGATTATTGGTCCGTTCCCCTTTTGCATATTTCCGCTACTTGCAATAAATTTAATCCAAGAACAGGTAGGACCATCTCTCTCACTTCTTTTTTTAACCGGAAAAAACGGTCACCATTGATACAAATCATTTTTCCAACATTAGCTTAGATGTTGAAATAAACTTTTGAGAGGGCCTATAGTATGCCCGAATTAGGAACTTTTGGAATGGAAACTTTAGGATGCTAAGTAGAAAATACTTTCCAGGGATCTATTTATTAATGACATATTCATATTATTTCTTCTTATTTGATAAATAGATATTTGGAAATATATATAAATATTTCTATCATATTTTTGTGCATATCTACTCTTCGCACATAATGTGTTGAGGATTGTTGGGAGAGAAGTTTATATTGGCTATTTTAGGGAATAATCATGAATTTATAGGTAAGGAATATATCTTCATTAGTATAAGGCACTTTGAGGAAGTCCAAAGTGTGCTTTGTCGCACGGTATGATTGTTGGGAAGGTTGTTTGAGGGCTCCATAAACCTTAGGGGAGGCTCAATAGTGTAATTTATTTACTTAGTGATTAAATAATATATACAAAATTAATTAAAATGAGTAAAGGGAAATTTTAGTTGTACTTAGAAAAATATTAGTCTAAATGAAAGTTTTGTTGCACCAAAGATTCAAATGTCAGTGCCGAAGAATTTGTAGCAGCCCACTAGGTTTAAGATTCAGATTCCAATCTAAACAACAAGATATCTAAGTATTTAAAAAGATAGGTAACTTTTTATTAATATGCCACTCCAACCGTAGTTTGACTCTTGAAGTATGCAATACCTTTTCTTTTTAGAAACTAGGTTTATATAATAATGTATACTCTAAATTAGTGTTTTTTTCTATACGTTAATAGAAAATATGATTTCAGTTGAAATGTATTTTTTTGAAAATTACTCCAAATACATACTAAGTATGGCTGAAGTGATTGGACACATTTGTATTTCTTCTCTACCAATAATGTATTAATCTAAGAAGTATTGGTAGAATTATTTATTTGTTTTTTTTTTTTTTTTTTTGGTAAAAGATGATTTGATTGCTATTTTCTGATACTTCACTTTAAATTCTAGCCTAATGTCACATCGTGCACATTTTATTTTTTTCTTTTTCGAATATACATGTGAAACTAGAAATTTGTGCATCATGCAATGAATAAAAATACCTACAGTTATCTCGTGTCCACTTGTTATTGTGCAAGAATGATTTTGTTTAGTTTGTATTCTATAAATACTTAATTTTATTGGATTAATATTCTACTAGAATTGGCCAATCGTGTGGCCCACCCTCAAACATTATTATTCACGCAGATCCAACTTTGGGTGGACACTTAGAACTAGAATGTTAGATCTTGTACAACTTTTTTTTACTGAAAAAACTAGACTTGGAAAAAAGGTTAGACATAATGAATATTGAATTTTGGCCAGCGTACATGTTTCTTTGGGTTATCTCACTCCATCTCTACTTTTAGATTAAACTCTGATGGCTAGCTTTCTCTATATTTTAACTCTTTTTGAATAATCTTATTAGCGGTGTCTATGAATACTATTGGATGATAAAAGTTCCACGTCGACTAATTTAGGGAATAATCATGGATTTATAAATAAAGAATACTCTCTCCATTAGTGTGAGGTTTTTTGGGGAAGCCCAAAGCAAAACCATGAGAGCTTATGCTCAAAGTAGACAGTATCATACCATTGTGAAGAGTTGTGTTCGTCTAACATGGTATCAGAGCCATGCTCTAAAACTTAGTCGTGCCAATAGATTTCTAACATGGTATCAGAGCCATGCCCTAAAACTTAGTCGTGCCAATAGATTTCTAACATGGTATCAGAGCCATGCCCTAAAACTTAGTCGTGCCAATAGATTTCTAACATGGTATCAAAGTCATGCCCTAAAACTTAGTCGTGTGAATACGTATCCAACACCATCCATATTACTTTTATTTTATAAAAATTTCATGAAAAATATACGTAATAAATCCTATTCTTTTAGATAATTATCTATTTCATCTTTAATCTAATCCCTTAAACATTCTCATTTCATGTTCTTTCATATATAAAACAAATTGTTGATAGAACTTTGATCGAGCATTAAAATGATTTTTTTTTTTTAATTTTCCAAATATCGTGAGAAGGATTTATTTCTTTTGATATATTTAAAAAGTTGATTAAGCATGATTTTTTTTTTTTTTGGTTGGATTTCAAAGTTAGAAGTTACATTACACATACTTAAACTGATGTGTTATTGTGACAGGAAGGATCCAACAATAGAAGAAGGCCATCAATATTGAGGTAAATTCTCTAACTTTGTGTGGGATTCTTCCAAATGGATGATTTTCATTTACCATCCTTATCATCACTTATCATCACTAGTAGAGTACACAACAAAAGCAGAATCTTTGAATAAGTGGAATTATAATTTTGAATCTATTTTGAAACAAGAAATCCCTTGGCGCTCCAAGTATTCCAAAGGATAACAAAATAGAAAGCCCAATATGATTTCTTTTCTCTTAACTACCAATGGAAATGCTGGATTTTATTTGGACAGGAATATACTCTTTTTTGCATGTTGGGCAATGATTAAATCCATTTTTCTCTTATATTACTTAATTAACTCCAACTTGAATGCATTTTCTTTGATTTTATTCTCTTCAAGTATATTTGTTTTTTTGTTTTTAACTTCCAATGGTTGGAATCTTTATATAATTATCCCTCTGGGTTGATTTTTTAAATATTCCAAACCTTTCTTTTTTCTCGAGTGCACTCCAACTCTGTTTTCAGCCATAAAAGACAAAAAAAAAAAAAAGGAGAGAATTAGATTTTATACGGCTAATTTGGATTCTAAATGAGATAGGTTTGAAAATAAATATATTTAAGTGAATTATTTACTCTCAAAACTTCAAAACTAAGCTAATTTGGTGGATTTGTAAATTGTCTTAGGGTCAATAAAGATTCATGTAAACGGATTTTATAGTATGTCGTTTTTGACTCCTCGAGCACTCTTCCCTTCTCGAAGTAATGTCGTCCATGTTTCTAGAGATTGTTATCTTATAATTTTCTATTTCTTTTTTTATAATTACTATGATACGTAAAATCTCTTATATTTTTTTTTGTATTTTTAGTAGCGTAGTGTTGAGATATGGAGCCTGATGCCTGTATTTCTAGTAATGTAGTGTTGGGATATGGAGCTTGATACTTAGATCTAGTAGAGATATATTTGGAAGATATTTCATAAAGATATGATAAAGATATATATAGTAGATATTTGGTAAAGATTTGATAGATATATATTTGTTAGATTATATCTGTAGGTTTAAATCTTTGAAAGCTATATTTAATAAATTGAAACCATATATATAACCCATTAGGCAGTGCTCTCAAATTGTACTTCTCTTCCTTCCTTATTCTCTCTTGTTGTACATACCCGAAGTCATCAATAATAAGATCTTTAGCCAATATTCCTCCTGTATTTTCTCTCTCCGATTCTTTGTGTTCATCTTGATCGAGTGTGTGCGTTGTTGAGCGATTCTAACTCATAGTAAAAGAAAAAGACACAAACTCATAAAGACACTAACTATAGGCTACAAACTCACATAGATCTTGACTAATCTTTGTCGATGATGTTATGTCGAAGGAGATGACTTTCCAGTATTTCTGAGTCTTTTAACCTTGTAGCATTTTCCTATATATTTTTTGCCATAGCTCAACATTACATCAATACGCCTCAATTGTAGATGTGGAAATTTGTTGAAGACCCTACAACGAGTAGAAATCAATACTAATAGAGAAAAATCACATTACAAAAATTTGAACAAAAGACTTCCAACTTAGATATCATATTAAGTCACCACTCAACTAAAAAATTTACACTTATGAGTTATGATACATTTAATTACATCATCATATATAAATGTTACCATCTTTTAACTCATCCATTTTTTGTACCATAAGTGTCATAGTCTTTGAAAAGCTTCCGTCATTTAATGTTGGATCCTTCAATCCTAGAGTCGAAGTCTGTATCTATTCTTTAGCATAAGTGAATAATGAATTTTGCCGAAACGCTTATTAATAAAAAAAAATTAAAATTTGAATTTTTAATTTAAAGTTTTTAAATTGGAACTAAAAATGTTTTAAACACGGTGAAAATAAATAGTTTATTTTTTCTATTGAATTCTTTATTTTAAAACACAAGCGAAAATGAAACTTATATTATTAAATAAATCATAATAAATAATAGTAAATAATCCATTATTTAAGTACAAAAATAATTTAATAGAACTAGATAAACAAACAGCTGGAATAGCTCAGTTGGTTAGAGCGTGTGGCTGTTAACCACAAGGTCGGAGGTTCAAGCCCTCCTTCTAGCGTTTTTTTTTATATATACGAAGTTTTTTTCCGTCTTTCTGTAAATTATATTTAATCTTTTTTTATTTGAAAATTTTACTTTATTTTTAATAAAAATAACTGAAAATCTTTTGTTATGTCCATTGCATTCATCTTAATTCACCGTAGCATCATAATATATAATATAAAATTAAAACAAAATGAATTAAAAATAATTATTTTTTAGAGTTCATGAAAAGAACCCTTCGATATTTATTTATTATTCAAATGGATTTTATTAACTCAATTCAATAACTTTCATATATTTTTCTTTTTTTCGAGAGAGAGAAAAAAAAAAAAAAGCTAGCGGTAATTGGAAAATTAATATTTAAAATGAGAAAATAATTGGGAAATATTTCGGTCCGAAAAACTGAGCCAACAGAATCGTCTTCATAGATCGTTACTTCTCAATTACGGACTCGCTCCGATTCTCATCCATTTACTGTTCTTCCTCTTCCTTTTCGGATTATTCAAGGTTAGATTTCAGTTTCTGCTACTTTCGATTCCTTTTCCGAACCCTAGTTCTTCGATTTCATGGTTTTCTTCTGCTCAACTCGATTTCGTTCTGTAAATTCCATTTCTAATTGTGATTGCCGAGAACTGCCTTCGGATAGTGCCATTTGGTTTCGTGATTTGAAATCAGAGGAAGTAAAATGAACGGTCGGAAAACAGGAGATCCAAAATTCGTTTGACTTTTCTTGTTCTTGGCGATAGATTAGATTGATGCTCTTATTTTGCTCTCGATCGTGTTTTCTTAACCTAATGTCATTGTTTACAATTCGAAGGATATTCTAGGGGATAATTTTTTTATGGAAGGAGTTGAGGGCGACGCAGCCTCAGCAGTAGCTCCTCTGGCCAAATGGAGAAATGATTTTGCCAGAGCGTTTCAGTATTACTTGGATCGATCCACTTCTCACCCGGTTCATAGGTGGTTGGGAACCCTTGTTGTTGCGGCGATTTATGTGTTGCGTGTTTTCTATGTTCAAGGGTTTTATGTTGTGTCGTATGGCTTGGGAATCTATATCTTGAATCTCCTGATTGGGTTTCTATCGCCGAAGGTTGATCCTGAGCTTGATGTCTTAGACGGAGCTTCCTTGCCTACTAAAGGGTCTGATGAGTTCAGGCCGTTCATACGCCGACTTCCCGAGTTCAAGTTTTGGTATTCCTCTTGCATTATCCTGTTCAGCAACTTTGATTTCTGCGTTTGATTGCATTCAATTTTGGATATAGTTTTTGGCTAATTGTTATGTGACCTCCGTTCTGGCATTTTCTAGAAGTAACTAAAAGGATTTCATTGCTGAAAACTAGTATCTGGTGCTGCATTTGGTATTTCAAAAACCTCAACCATTTTGTAAAAGGTTATACGGATTATATATATATATATGTATATGTATATGTATAGAAAAACATGTATTTATGTTACTGGCTCATATAAATTACAGGGTTTATGTTGAGAAGATATATCTCTATCCAAATTAACCTTTTTCAGGACAGAATGTATATCATCATAGTTGTTTAGAGTGTGTTATTTATTTCTGTAAGGCGCTTCTTGCCAAGTGTAAACATACTGAAAAAAACTTGTCATTGCATGGGGATGGGGTGAACTTGATGATTTCATGGTGGAATAGTTTTATATTGTCAAGTGTCAACCTTATTTCAAACACCTGCCATTCCCTGAGGATGGAAATTCAATGAATTTTGAAAGTATTACTGTATTGGGTAGTGTTAGTGAATTGTGCAGCACTGCATACTGGTTGGCTTTGATGATTCCATTGTATTCTTAGAATTTTGGAGTGTCAAATTATAGCAAATGCTTGGTAGTGGTCGAGGCTGGAGTGAAATGGTTGGCTTTGATGATGTTATTTGGTTGAATTGATGGCTTTGTGGAGTCTTAAATCTTTTTCTCATTTCTGTTCTTCAGGTATGCCATCACCAAAGCCTTTTGTATTGCCTTCTTCATGACCTTCTTCTCACTCTTTGATGTTCCTGTTTTCTGGCCCATTCTTCTTTGCTATTGGATTGTTCTATTTGTCCTGACAATGAAGCGCCAAATCATGCACATGATCAAGTACAAATATATTCCTTTCAGCATTGGGAAACAGGTGAGGCAACAAGAACTTGGCTTATAGTCATATAAACATCCCTCCTGCTCCCCTGGGCAAAAACCACTTACTCCCACCAAAAGCCAGAGAGAGAGAGAGAGAGGGAGGGAGAGAACTTGTCCTATAGTCGTGTAACACCCGTCCTGTTTCCCGTGGCATTAATCAGGGAGAGTAGCCATATCCTATCATCCCTGAGACAAATCATTGGAGGGGCTAAAACAATGTGACTAGTAATTTAGTGAATGGATGAATGAAAGAGAAGTGACAAAACACATTTGGAACCTAAATCCAATAGTCATTAGAAGACATACAGACTTCAAATATGTGTCCAATGGTTAGTTGGGGCAGTCATTCCAATCCAAAAAACAGAGAGGCATCCTTCGCACCCCGGGGCAAGAGAGATAGTGTAACGACCCTAGATTTCTACTTACCTATAGTTGCTACCATCATCATGATGTAATCATTTTTCAGCCATCCTAATGTAACATATGGCAGTGTTTTAAGAATGTTAGCTACAAGAGATCGTGAGATCCCACATCGGTTGGGGAGGAAAAAAATCATTCTTTATAAGGGTGTGGAAACCTCTCCCTAACGGACATGTTTTAAAAACCTTGAGGGGAAGCCCGAAAAGGAAAATCCCAAGGAGGATAGTAACTGCTAGCGGTGAGCTTGGGCCGTTACCAATAAGGAGGCTTCAAACATTGTAACTAATACAGCTTTTCCCCTTTGTTTTGTGGCAGAAATATGCAGGAAAGAGGTCTTCTGCAAGTAGCAGTGGCGTTTCAAGAGACTAAGTTCCATCATACCCCTTCTGGTTAGTAGTAGACAGAAGTGTGCAGCATTCCAACTCTTCTTTAGGTTTTCCGGTCGGAGCACCGGTTGAAGAGACAAGGTAAGGAGAAAATGTTAGAAGTGAATCACGTTCGAGTGCTTCTGTGTTCGAGCCAGTGCTTAGGTGTTAATGTGGATGTTGTAATAGATTTTCTCATATGTGTTGACCACAATATATCCTATACTTAGTTTTTTATTTTTTTTTTCTTTTCTTTTCTGATGGGAAAAAAATGAAAATATCCAATTAATATTTGCTGGGTTCGGTTAAAAGATACCAACGTGTGCTCTTTCGACATCCTACACAGTAAATGAATCATGAATTACTTTTTTTCGTTTACTTTAATTGTTTATGTTCTTTCGAGCATAACTGATCAGGTCATGCTTATATATAGGCTCATTCTCCAATGACGGGATGCTAAGACGAGAAAACAAGCAATCGATGAACTAAAAACACTCCTAATGATGTAGTGATGTCGAGAGGACATAACCCATTCCTCCAGGCAAAAAAAACAACTCTTTTAGGAGAAAATAAGGTATAATTCAACCGGGTAGATATTTTCTAGTTTTTCACGCCACATGAAATAGAAGTGTTTGAAGCAAAATGTTGTCAAATTAGACCACGATTTAAAAATGTCTGGAAAAGCTCTATTGTGATTTCGCGAGGTAATCTACATCGATGTAACGAAAGTGAGGGAGGGACCTACAACAATCACAGAACGCCCTGAATAATCAACCCGTTTGTCAAGCAGAGAAAATAAGGTATCCTGAATAATCAACCCGTTTGTCAAGCAGAGAAAATAAGGTATAATTCATCGGTATAATTCAACTGGGTAGATATTTTCTAGTTTTTCACGCCACGTGGAATAGAAGAGTACGAGCATAAAATCTATATTTTAGAAGAAAATAAGGTATAATTCAACCGGGTAGATATTTTCTAGTTTTTCACGTGTGGAATAGAAGAGTTCGAGCATAAAATTTAAAAATTATGCATCATATTGAATCAACGATTGTCGTATCAATTTTGAAATATGAACGTCCATCATTTTTTTTAAAAGAAATTAAAATTATTGAACATATTTAATTTCCACCAACAAGTATTTCTCAACTACTTAGACTTCTCAATTATATATTTAAAATAAAAAATAATTGAATTTGTAATAATAAATAAATAAATGGTTACATTAACATGGCCAGCTAATATTATTAGGGACTTCCATTGCCTCTACCAACTCCATAATACCTTTCCCTTTTGGCTTTAAATCAACACATTATTATTATTATTATTATTATTCCCTTAACCCATTGTTGCTTCTCTCTTGCCTTTCTCGACAAATGACCCCTCGAACCTATGTTTTAATCTTCTTCTTCTGGTCTCTCCTCACCGTTCTCACTCCCGCCCTCGTTTTCCTCTCCGAGAGTTCAAAAACGTCGTCCCACTCGTCCCAATCTCCAGGTAAACGCTCATCTAATAACATTCTTGAAAGACAGTCGTAGTTGTCTTATTCATTAAACTCCCCTATTTCTCATCTATTTCGTTTAATGTGAGATCCACATTAGTTGGAGAGGAAACGAAACATTCCTTATAAAAGTGTGGAATCGTGAGGCTAACGACGATACGTAACCGGCCAAAACAGAAAATATCTGCTAGTAGAGGGAAACGAAGCATTCCTTACAAGGGTGTGGAAACCTCTCCCCAATAGACACGTTTTAAAATCGTGAGGTTGACGGCAATATATAACGGGCCAAAACGGAAAATATCTGTTAGCAGAGGGAAACGAAGCATTCCTTACCAGGGTGTGGAAACCTCTCCCCAATAGACACGTTTTAAAATCGTGAGGTTGATGACAATATATAACGGGCCAAAACGGAAATATCTACTAGCAGAGGGAAACGAAGCATTCCTTACCAGGGTGTGGAAACCTCTCCCCAATAAACAAGTTTTAAAATCGTGAGGCTGACGGCAATAGGTAACGGGCAAAAAAAGAAAAAAAAATCTATTAACAGAGGGAATCGAAGCATTTCTTACAAGGGTGTAGAAACTTCTCCCCAGTAGACACGTTTTAAAATCGTGAGGCTGACAACAATACGTAACGGGCCAAAACAAAAAAATATCTCATAGCAGAGGGGAACGAAGCATTCCTTACTAGGGTGTGAAAACCTCTCCTTAATAGACAAGTTTTAAAATCGTGAGACTGACGATAATATGCAACGGGCAAAAACTGACAATATCCGCTAGCGGTGAGAAATAGAAACTAAATTTTGCGGTTATTTTGTGTTTGGCAGATGGGAAAATCGTAGGGATTCAAATGAGTAGAAAAATTGTGGGATTGACCAGAAAATATGAGATGTTGAAAGTTTTGGCAGAAGAACAGACCTCACCGGCGGCGATCCCAACACCAATTACAGCACCGGCGCCGGCGCCGTCACCGTCGCCATCGACTGCTCTGCCTCCGGGAACCGCCGTGCCGTTACGGAGGTTCATGGCTGGTGCTGGAAAGGTCGTAGAGACGACGTTGGAGGGTCTGAGTATTGTATGATTTAAAAATAAAAATTAAATATTATTTATTTGGAAAATACAAAACATTTTAACCCTTTTGGTAAATAAAAAAATGGAAAATCGAAATTATTTGTGAATATCTTTTCTTTTAAGCAAAAAATAAATTTAATAATTTTTTATTTACTGCTTCGTTTCTTTTTTTTATTATTATTTTTTAGTTGACTTGTTTATTATTATATAAAATTCAATTAATATAATATTTTCTTTTAATTCATAATTCATATAATTAAAATATATAGCCAACCTAACTATATAATATTCATAATTCATATAATGAATTTTTGTCTCCTCAATTATTTTTAATAATGTATTTTATCGTATTGTTTATATTATATCAACTAACCTTTGTTAATTAAATAACACGCCGTCATTTAATTATCCGTATATACAAAATAGTATTATAAATTTTATGATTAAATAAAATATCTCGTTTTTCGAACTGATTGTCGATCTAATAATTTCAGATGAACTCACTAGTCTTTCCATCTTTGAAAAAACTAATAATCGTTTTGGTCAGAGTCTGAAATCCGAATTGAGTCTAAGAAGAACAATATGAAATAAGATGGATGCCACAAAAATGGTGGATGACTAGATCTAGTAGCGAATAAAAGAGCAGCTAGCTCCCGTGGTTTGTTGGGGTCGGTCATACTTCTTCAGTCTCATGCTCCTATAAAGCTTTTAGAGACTCCACCTATTGTAATAAAAAAGAAGTGCAGCCTATTCGTCACGTTCAAGCTTTCAATTACAAATTATAGTTGGCTAGCGGTCATTGTAGGATTGATGGTCATGAAATTTACGACCTTTCAATTAATAATAGGTCATTATAAGGTTTATTTTTAAAACTATAAGTAGTCATTGATTTTGTTTCTTTATCTTTTAGTATAAAGATTTTCGAGATTAAAATGAAAGTTGTACATTATGCTTCTTTTATCTTATGTTTAGAGTTGTATGTTAGAGTCATTTAAGTAGTCTGGATCAAGTTCTCTCGTGCAATGATTCGAATCACGAGCTTAGAAACAGGTTTTCCTTACCTTTGGTTTTGATTATCACACGCTAATCCGTTCCAAACGTTATCGTTTAGAACCCAAATAGAAGCCATTATATGGAGGAAAAATGAAAGAACACCACTAGCTGATTGAAGGTGGAAAAGCTCCATCAATGGCGGAAGAATGACATTGAGGCGCCATTTATTAGGTCAGTGAGCCAAAATCCTCACATTTGTGGAAGTAAAAACTATCATTCATCATCAAACACATAACATATAGAACAACAGCAGCCAAGAAACCAAAAACAAATAAAACACAACACTCTTCAGCAAGGGAAAGAAGAAACAAACGGTATGCATAATGGTTCATTACTGATACACCCACAAAACTCAGCAAGAAAGGCAGCCCCAAGTTTCCTTCAAACAAATCGAGAGAGATACTCATCCACAGTGGTGTACCTGACTTCTGGGTACAGCGCCGACGCCTCCACTCCAAATGATGCCTCAATCTCGAAGTTCGTCTGATCTCCCTTTACAAACACCGAGTGGTTCAACGCCAATATCACATTTAATGGAAGTGGAGCCTCTGATAAACACCAACCATCAAGCGTTAAGCATATGGATTACGGTAAATTTAATTAGTTGTAAAGGAAACTGACCTTGAATGTCCTTGAGGATTTGGTCCTCTGGAACGTAGATCTTTTCCAATACTTTGTCGATCTTTTTCTCCCACAATGCGACAAGATCATTGAAAGAGTAGGTGTTTTTGGGCGGCCTGATGTAGAGGATTTTGTTTTCAGTTTTTGGATCGTCCACGGCTTTGATAGTGTAAGTACCAATATCTTCCTCCAAGTTAAAAATCACTACATATGAGGATGAACTATGCATTATACAGAGTGTTTTCGCAAAAATTTGAAGGAGCAATCTAAATTTATGGGAGTGGCTAACCTTTGGGGTGTCCGTCGCCAGAGATGACGACTTTGTCTCTAGGAGGCGCGGTGAGTCCTGGCTGCGAGAGTGTGGGGAGAAAGTAGCCATTGAAACAGTTGGAGGACACATAAGTGTAGGGAATCCCTTCACGCTCAATTGCCCTACGGATTTGGGCCTTGATTGCCAATGCAGATTTTGCTGGCTCAACTGCATGGAGTCGATCCACATCCATCCCGAACTCCGAAGGAAAAAACCTCTGCCGCGTTAATTATAAACATCAAATACGATACAATATGCTGAGTGTGAAGATTCAACTTAACTACTTATTGATAATTTATTAAGCACGAAATTGATAGTTCGAATTCCTATACGAATTTCAATAATGAAATACAAATTTCGAAATCTACGAACATATACACTTTCAAGCGTTAATTATAAACATCAAATACGATACAACATGCAGAGTATGAAGATTCAACTTAATATCAAGCATGAAATTGATAGTTCGAATTCCTATACACTTACAAGAACTAATGAAACACAAATTTCGAAATCTACGAACATATTAGATCTATTGGATAGGTAGTTATAACTGTTTTTGTATACTCTCGGATCAAAACTTGAGTACCTTGACATTGCAGGCTTCTTTGATTGCAGCAATGATCTTGACTTGATCCGCCAATTGCATTTGGCCAAGCGTTGAAATCACGACATCCACCTCCTTAATCG